TATCAAAACACTGTAACCACAATCCCTTTCGGTTGTGCAATCTCCCTTTGACAATCACCGTTTGCCGTTTTCCCTGACAAAAATTTGATTCTAGCTTTTAGTGCTGTCTTGTTCCCCACCCCTCTCCCTGCACGGAGAATCCTTCCCATTTTTTGCTCTCAGGGAGGGGTAGGAATACTGCACAAGAGTAATAGAAACTTATTCAATGCTGTTGTGTTCATGGATAATACATACATGTATGTTATTTACCGGCTGGGAGGTCCATATAGGAAAACATTGCCCGATGTCTTGACAGTAAGGAAAGCGCAGCGAGGTCCGTTCATAAAAGACCAAGGGCAGTGTTTTTCTATACGGACCGACCTATAGCCAGTAAATAACATTTTTATTATTTGTATTTGTATTTTATGCAACTTTACTCGCAGCCTAGCTGCAGGATACCTTCAGACCGGGCAGATCGTAAAAAAATCAGACCACGCGCTAGCCAATCACAGCGCGCAAATGACTAGGATACTGGACCATAAAAAAAAGGTTAATAACTTCACTTCGTCTTGCAGGCAGTTGTTTGGTCTTTATGACTCAATTCCAGAGCCATCTGTGAAGAAAATGGATGTTGTTGTTCATGTAGGAATGAATGCCGTTTGCTGTGTTTATCTGAGTGTAAGTATACAATATTGTCATGTTATTTTTGATAATTGCTTTATTACTTTGAATAACACAATGTTTTAGCCCAAAAATAGTTCTGAAATCTTAAATTTTTCAGTAATATTTTATCAGCAGTGCATGTCTCTGTTCTCTGATTTTATATAACATGTTGAAAGGACACAAGAGAAGCAAGCCTTGACATTAGTGCAGCTAGTGTTTATCTTGCTTCTAAGTAGTCTTTGTCTCCCACAATGTCAGCATCAGAGGACAGAGACACAAGCATCATGTACATCTCTTGTATAAAATGTTTCTTTTTCRAGCGCTCAAGTTAAACCATGTTCATCCTCTGATARAAAACCATGGTCRTCAGCCRATGATAGTGCATTACATCTCAAAACKTTTTGTCGTTTATACGCATGTTTATTTTGCTTTTTTCTAGGTTGGCTTTTTCAGCTATGTGACATTTTATGATGTTGGAGTCAAGGGTGACATCTTGACCAATTATGGTGGTTCTTCTTTAGCTATTTTACTGAAAATGGGTAATTTTTTGTTGTTTAACGTTTGGTCATAGAACCATTAGCGTTGTGCGAATTGTACATACACATTACAGCATGGTTCTGAGGATTTGGAGTTTTTACTAATGCTTCATRCTTGGCAATTTCTATTGTGATTTTTTTTCTTATAATGTAATTTGTCTTTCTTGTATCACAGGATTTATGCTGTCAGTGATTGTAAGCTTTCCTTTGATGGTATTTCCAATGCGAGCCAGTATCAACTCCCTTTTATTCCCATCTCAGGTATGGTGATAAACAACTAGCTGTAATAACCCTATACAATACAACTTATTTCTGTTTCTATGTTCACAGACTGCTGGTACAGAAAACATGCCAGGAGGGCCAGGATACATGCCACAAAACCGCTTTGTCTACATAACTGTAACAGTCATTAGTCTCACTTTATTAGTTGGAGTTCTTATTCCACAAAGTAAGTTAATTCAAAATAGCATCCCAGCCCCAGGGCTTGGRAATTATGGTCAGTCAACAGTTACTGTATGTCCATGCAAATGTTTGTGGGGCTTGTCGTTTTGTCGTACTCTTTATTTCCAGTTTAATCAGTGAATGCTACAGTAACTCAAGTTCTGTTATTGTAATCGTCAAGTATTGATTTATGTATTTGACGTTGTCCTTTCTGGTAGGACGAAGTTCACATGTGGTTAATCCAATACAAATTAGATTGAATTCGATACATGTGATATTCGGTTCCTTTCTCATCGTCTTCTGAACTCCTTCTTTTCTTTCTATAGTTGAGTTTATTCTTGGCCTCACTGGAGCAACAATGGGAACAATGATCAGCATGATCTTGCCAGCATCCATGTTTCTATACGTTGTCCAAGAAACAAAAGGAGAACACAGAACCACGGCCAAGATTATTCTAGCCGTCGGATTCACTTGCCTAATAGCAAGTACATAYACCACGTTAACTTCAACKGAAAGCCACCATCATGACGAAAATACCTTACAGCAAAGCGCTAAGATTCCAGTGGAGCACGTCCACCAAGATATCAAAATTCCTTCTAATCTTTCTGACCTGAAGGCTGTCAAGCCACCACCCTCTGCTTTTAAAATTTCCAAAGACGTRRCCGACTCGAAAGGTGTTAAAGCTGATGTAAAAAAGGTGGATGAAAAGGTAGAAGTTGACGAGAAGAGGAAAGAACCAGCCTTGCCAAATCCACCAGATGACAAGAAAGATGGTGGTGATGTTGACAAGGGTGGTGATCCTTTGAAAGGCATTAAGGCTATCGTGGAAGAWAAAGATGTCAAAGAGGTGAAGAAGASCGAGAAGGGWGCAGATCCTTTGAATGAAAAAAGACAGCTTATGAGTACTGATGATTCCAAGGGAAGCGAACCCCTTAAATCTCCTCTTGCTKCTGAGAAAAATCTTCTGGCCTCGCAGCAATCTCACGAGAACAAGAACTATGTCAATGAATCCAAAAACATTGATAAGAAAGATGTTAAAAAACCTGATACAAGGRCTAAACGAGATGTCGAAGAAAAACCAAAGGAAATTAATTCTGACACGTCAACAGAAACTGTCATGAGAAAGGATAGCGGTGKTAGCACGAAGTCAACAGAAATTCTGCCGACTGCTAAAGTAACGGAGTCATTGAAAAACRGTAGCGTTGTTATTRTTGAACCAAAGTCTCTTCCTGTAGAACCTGTCTCACCCACTGAAACTGCAAAAGTCGACGCTTCATCCTTGGACCCTCATGTTGGTAACGAGACAGGAAAGATCATMAAGGGAAGAGATCTCAAGTCAAGCGAAGTCATCGGGAGAAAGCTCCATTCTGTGCAACCTCTAAGGTCATTATGGGAACAAAGGTTAAAGAAACATCGTTCCTTAACAATAAAAAGAAAGAAGAGAAAGGTAATTTTGTGAAATAGTTTATTTCTTAAAGTCCATTTTTCCTTAATCCTTCGCGTGTCTCATGACTCACAATTTCGTCGCTCCCTAAAAAGGAAATCATTGTGATTGATAAAATAGCAAAAAGATGTTCACCTTTTGACAAGGATTAGTCTCTCTCACAGATTTATTTGGCTCGTCCCCATRTCTCTCCCAACAAGCCAACACCTTAGCCAGAAACGGCTGCGAGAGGACTAGACTGGGCAAGGATAAGATTAGAGAAAAATGGCGGAACAATTTAAATAACAATTTAAACTGCCAACCTTGTCATATACATGTCAATACACAGGGTTTTGTGTTATTGCATGAACACTAGGTTAGTCAGTCAAAAACAGTTTGAATGGGAGTTCGTTTTTCGATTCGTCAGGACGAAGTTTATTGAGATAAAGTATTAATAGTAATGTGTTTTTTCGTCCTGCAGATTGGATTGAGTTGACCTATGGAGTATCCACTCAAGGAGTACAACTAGTTTTATAATTAAAAATGATACCATTCAAATGGAATTTTAAATCGTTTATTTATGGTGCAAGGATTTGCAATATGTGTGTACAAACACTTGAAAAACCTCGTCAAACATTAATGTTTAAAACTACTGCATAGAAATAGTTCATGAATCCACAAGTTGAAATAATTTCAAACTGCACATTTCTAATCTACGAGTTAAGGTTTAAAGATTGATATTTTCGATTTAGTACGTCAGAAGCATGCATCGCAGTTTTTGTAGTAGTTGGATTCAGTAGCACTAAGTTAGATTATAAATCGTAGTAGTGTATGGGGTACTAATGAGACGGTGATATCCCAAACTCCACTTCGGTCTGAGCTTCTATGATGCTTTCTTTATGATATATCTTTTGAAAGTTGTTGTATGCTATGACAATTTGTTTCTTGTAAGTAGATTCCTCTTGTAAAGAATTCACAAAGAATAGAAAATATCATGTAACTAAAACTTTAAGTAATAATAAAATAGAATAAATAATTTTGCAGGTGTTTATTTACTCGCAAAAAAATTAAATTGTGAATCGATACAAAGATCTCTGACTTTGTGCACAAGGTAGAACAAGGCCTGATTGGTTTTCTGTACGCTATCGTGTGCGTCTTAAGGCTGATTTACACGGCACGACAGTCTCCTGCGACATGTAGTATACGACTTGAATCGCGCAGTGTAAATGCCCCTACGCCTTGTCTACAACAGTCGAACGTAACCTACGACTTGTAGTAGGAAAATCGTATACTACAAGTCGACAAATCGTACCGTGTAAATCAGCCTTTAAAAGCCTACATGCATCCAAGAATATTTGCGCGAGTTTCTCACATACGAAAATTCGCCATCTTTGATTTTGAACCAATCAGAAAACACCTTTCAACAGGAGATCATTTGTAAAAGAAAAGAAACGAACGCAAAGGTTCTTAGTTGCAGGTGGGCCTTAACAAACAGAATTGCTCTTGCTCTAGTGCTAGTTCGCCTCACTAAAACGTTTTCTATCTCACAAACAAAAGCCACATATCACCTGGCTGGCAATTGTTTTGATTCATATCATCACAGAAATAATTTACACCACTGCAACTAAAAGTCTTTGAGGCTGTCGGATTGTTTAGAAGTCGGTTAACCAATCGATAAACYCCGGCACAGCATCCTTGATTCCCCCATCTGTTAAGGTACTTTACTCCCTTTGATGCATAACCTAGTKCACTGCAGTGTTTGGAAAGGTAAGAGGTATCGTCGGGCATCCTRATGTAGGAATTACAGGCTATTGCTATCGGGCTGCCATCGATAAAATACCTGTAAAAAAATATTCCAGCCTCCATAACACAATCATTAAGCAAACATGCCGGTAAGGGCTGATCCATGGGGTGTAGGGTGATTGTTGGGAGAACAGGACAATTCATGGATTTTGAATTAATCACAAGCTGAAACCGTTTCCATAACTGGAAATGGAAAATATCTACTCATGCTTAAAGAATCCGAACCAACCACTATGCAGTCGGCGCTCGTGTTATTGTCTACATACGTTTAAATGCTTCAAGCATACAATAGATAGATTGATAGTACCTGTGAGGTATTACTTAGCTAAAGGTATTTCTGCCCAAACTGAAAGGATGGAAGAYGATTCGCGCTCACTTCAGTTTAAAAATCCTACGGATCCGSCATTTTCGTGTCCACCTGAAATGGCGCTTCGGCTCGCATGGTATAGGTTTGGTTCATAGGCCACCCAACTATTGCTTGTGTGAAAGAAAAGAATAATTGCGCACGCTTTTGTTATCAGCGCGCGCTCTTAGCAAAATGTGGGTTACCTGTGGTATTACGTCATTGAAYCCATTTGCGGGATCGCGGGATCAAAAACCAGTCTGTCACAGACTAGTTTTTGATCCCGCCAGGCAAGGGATCATTGACGTAATGCCACAGGTAACCCGCTTTAACAGTACTAGCATAAAAGCGTGCGCATTTGTTTTTTTTTCTTCTCTCAAGCAATAGTTGGGCGGCCTATGTTTGGTTGTGATTTTTTAAGTGTTTACCTTATAACATTGGATCCAAGGTCATTCATAGCAGTCATCACGTGCACTGTTGTCTTCACAGCTTTCTTTCTGCAATAGATGCGCATCTGACGAAATCCCATGTCATTGTGCAGACTTTTCAGCACGGTAGCGTCAATTAATTTGTACCAGTCTAGCTGCCGCATGTATCTGTAGCTCGACATAGACTGGGAACCACTGGGACTGGACGACTGAAGTGTAGCATTACGCACAACAGTCCAGCCGCCTAAAGAAACGGAGAGTACACTTTTAGATTCCATTTGTCAGAACCCTGACTCGGGCCTGAGATATAAATGGATCCAAATAAATTACATTATTAATAATTCCTGTTTAGGCCCTGAAGAGTCAATTTATCGTTTTTTTAAACCATTTCTATGAGATTCAGAAGATACTGAAAGACCGGCGGCCATGTTGGAGGATTTACAGTACTAATGGGATATCGTTTGTTAACTTGAAAACGAAGAATTTCATCATTTATCTTTGAAAATAACTGAAAAWTCTTTACTGAAAAAAGCATTCTTTACTTCTTGATTATACTGGTCTGAATCTTTACTTTATGGTTTTCAGCATATAATTTACCGTCAKCTTATTGTTACTGACGCATTAATCTATCTCCTTCCCTTTCTCCTCCAAATCCGAGGGGGCCTCCCTTCCTTTCAATAATTCTTTCATTCTTTCTCTCCCCATAAAGAATAAATTTCACTARTAAGTGTAAAACGCATATCAAGACGATAGTGGCGAACTTTAATAACAGCGCCAAAACAAAATTCAAGGGTTTTATGCTATAATAATAAACTAAAAAATAACGATTCCCCYATTTTAGTTTTCTTTCAAGGATGCCGTATCTGCCTTATTACCTCCATCTGTGGTCATATCGCACTTCACCTGGAATGGTGACCCAGACCGAGTCGGATCAATCCAGTAGTCTCCACTCTGTTTGGCTTTTCCATAATATTTGATAAATGCGCAGGAATGACCAGGACGGCCGCTGGAAGAACCATCTGACCCTAAAAAGTCATTTGAATATTCAACACATGCAAATTATAGTCAAGTATATATAGTTTAAAACACGGGAGAGAGTGTTTATMGGTTGACATCCTGCGTTGGTCAATGAACAGATATCAAACCTGAGAACTTAGGGTCATGGACCTTAAAATCTGATAAATTAAAGTGTATATATCGGTTCAGCAATTTTGGTTTAAAATAAAAGTTTAGACTGTCATGAATTATGTTTGGTGGGTTAAACTCGAAAAAAAAATTTAAATATAAAGAATACTAATAAGGAGTGTTTTATCAGATATAAAGATCCATGCATGTGACCAAATAGTCTCAGATTCAATTGGCCTAACACATTAATTATSTATGCGTTTTTTAAATAGCAATGATAAATGATTTTTTGGTGTAATGGTTCCAGCTRTATGTTTTATTTACCAATCCATGTTTGACAGTGTTCCCCCGAGTATTTSTCCTTACAGTCACACGTATAATCGTCGCTACATCCAGCAATCCTGCATGTACCACCGTTCTTACAAGGAGACGATAAACAAGCAGGAAGAACCTAATAAATCATGAATTAATCATCAATCAATCAATCGGATWCACATTAATCAATCAACTAATCATCTGATCTATTAATTGCCAATGTCGAGGGTCCTGAAGGGGGGGGGGTCCGAATCCCATTTCCCATTTTATATTTATTTGGCCAAATCCCAGTCAAAAATTACACAATCCCATCGATTTTGCTCCATTTTTCAATCCCATACCCATTTTCTATTTTTTTTTCATTTTTATTAAATCCCATTCCCAGTCCCATTGCGTTATATCCCATTTTCCCAGTCTAAAATGAAGCAAATCCCTGTCCCATTTTACCCCTTCAGGACCGTCTATGTGACACGGTCACACGGTCAGCGTACTTACGTATTGCTCAGCATCGTAATACGAGTATCCGTTCTGTATGACGTAAGAAGAAGATGACGTCACGAAGGATTTCGATTGGCTATTCAGTTCACACACGTGATGTGGAGAGCCTATTTCTTGGTAATTGTATGATTTGCATCCGATGGTTCGTAAACACTCGTCTGCGCATTCATGGGAACAAGTGACGTCATGAGTTGCAATCACGTGACCCATAAGCTTGCGATCTATGATAAAATTTGTTATAGATCAAACACGACTGTGTAGGCCGTATCAAAACAAAAGGSCGATTAGATTTAACTCCATAGGCATTAAGACCCCCTTTAAACCCCTCTTTCAAGGATCAAAAATGGAAAAAACAATAAAAAGAAATAAAAGAAATTAAATGCGAGACTCTAAAATAGCAGCATCCATCAAAAAAAGTTCCTTTTACAAAGCCCTAAATCTATCCATTTGATTTTTTTAGTTATCCAACTCTCTTTCTGGATCAAGACACTGTCGCGGCAGGGATTTTTCTTTGACGTTTTATACTCATAAAATTTGCATGAGTTGAGGAGAATACACCAAATTCAGTTCCCAGACACTTTTTATCTTACCCAAAGTAATATTTTCTTTTTCATCGTAATGATTACAAAGTTGTTATACAGACCTTGGACTTTCTTGAAAGATGCACTTCTTTTGCATTCGCCTCTAGAAGGRTCTCGTGCCAGTCCACGAACTATCAWTGCGCATATCAGAACTGTGAGCAAGTTGAGATGTGACGTCATCGTCATTGGTACATCACCTCTAATAAAAGATTTTTGAATGCATGATTTACACAGAAGTCCCTATATATTCATATAGATGTGTCAGATTTCTTAAAAAAGCGATGAGAATAGGCTGCCATGACTCATTCGGTTAAAAAAAAAAACATATGAGAACTGTAGAAGACTCCTTGGTGTTCTCGGCCGCAGCGAGTCCCAGGGTGCATTCTGTATAAAAATGGACAAAGCGAAGCTCTAATTTGTTCTTCAAAMATTATCGAGTTAACTTCCCTATGAAAATATCCGTTGAACTTTCATAAATAAAAAATTCACTTTAAGCCATGGAAAAGAACTTCTGACTGAACCGGCTCAGGGTGCACTTGTAGTTTCCGATGTTACTGAAAAACTGAAGGTATTTTTCAAASTTCTAGTGCTATTTTCTCAAGAATTAATGCTCGAATACAATTCAAATGAAAATGAAAACCAAGAAGGTTACAATTATCATGAAAATTAGAGAAAGAATTTTAGTAGGCGAAAATCACTATCAATGGCGTGTGATCAAAACGTTCTACTCTCTTCTTTCTCACATTTCTTTCGTGAATCTTTCAAATAGTATATTTAAGTTATTTAATATATAAATTAAATTCATGACTAGACTTTCTTRCTACATCAAAAACGACTATTATCGTAAAATCCTTACCCGGCTTCCTTGAGAATCCCATGCAGACCTCTGCAGTCCTAGAACGCCTGGTTGAAATGAAACCGCAGTGATATCACTCTCGATGTTGTTGACTGACGCAGGTGCAATATRTATTTCCTTTTATCGCCAAAATTTGATAAATTGATTACTATAGCAGCTATAACTCTTTTTCTTTCAATAAAATTTAATTCGCGAGATTAAGCCGAATTTTTAAAGGCTTCATTGATAAATTTTTGAAAGTTTTTAAAACTTCACACTTTTTTCATTTATTCGTTTTGCCACTGAGTGGTATTTGAAGTCATTATTCTGCAAACAATGCCTTGAGTGGTTGGTCGTTATAAACGTGTATCGTTTTCTACATGGTAACCGTTGCACGTGGCTAGGTACAAAATGACATATAAAATCGGGTTCCCTGCTGTACAAAAATCGAGAGAGACTGGTGTGGGTCTGCTTCCTAGTCCTACTCGGTTTTATTCTTGCACCACAATCGAAATTTTAGTAGCACATGAGTTTTAGAAATTTTCTGTTAATTCTCAATAAATGCTTAAGTGAGAAAAAATAACAAAACATGCTCAGAATGAATATTTCATTCATTGTTTTATGTGGCTAAAATGTCGAATGACATCGAAGAAAGCGACGAAAAATCGTCATGTGTCGATGGWARTGGTACMGAYACCACATCAACTGTACCCGGAGCTGTTCTTGTAAGCTCACTAATTATAAMTCAAGCATTGGAGAATTTTGAAAAGGTATACAATATTTTTACCTCTTGTTTGCTAAAGAGCTGTAAATTAAATATCTGTTTAGATATCTGTTTTGGCGAAGAAAACACCCCATCTTTCCTCATCAAAATAGAAGAAAAACATGTCAACAAAGACACTCAGCTGAGTTCTGTGTACTTATCAAACTTTAGTAAGCCTTGAGCTTATTATTTTAATTTATAGCGAAGTATGCTAGAAACCTTACAGTTGTAAATGTTTATACTTATTTCCCAAAGAATTKTTATTAAACGTTAAGTTTTATAAATTTTCAAGGGTCAAAGAAAGGAATATGACTCGTTGGTTCAGAAGATTGGAGATCCCTCTCTCAAGGTAATCTATTAAACCTTGCATTCCAAAAAAAGTATTGAATTCTTTGATACTGAATTGTGTATTTCAAAAGTAATATATATATATTTTTCAATGCTTTCTCTTATTTATCTTCTTTTGTTTATTCATTTTTTCGTTCGATTTCCTTGTTTTTCTTTTCTATTTCTTCATCATGACCCATTGCTCGTTTGGCTGTTGTTCATTTTGTAAACATTAGAAAATCTTAATATTTTAATTAAACTATTCTTTAACAATTACTTGTAATTTGAAATATGTAATA